TCATTCCGTATTAATAAAAAACTTTTTAAAAGTTGTATGCCAAAGTTGTCTTTCTAGCCATAAAGCAATGCATGAAACCAAAAGTTCTAACTAGTTGTCAATAGAGGTTTATGTGCATGTTTGGGTAAGTCATGTTTTGATACTAATTCAGATAACATCCTTTGCTTCCTCTAAAGGCTACTTGTAAAACACATTTTATCTTGATTCTTTGCATGTCCTATTCACCTTTTATAAATATATATATATATGAAGAATGAATAACTAGAGTACCCATCTATCTTCAATCACCTAACTATTAAAGAAAGACATTTCAAGTCATTTTTTAAGGTTTCAAGAAATGGAAAATGGGCTAAACCAAAGAAGGTAACTATTGATATGTATTCTTTTATTGATTTTCTTATAATGTAAAAACATTAGAATCTTTTAGTCCCTACTAATAACATATTACTTATATCATTTTCTAGAGTGTCATTTTCTAGTCCACAATCCCATAAAGAAACAAGAGATGATGAGTTTGTAACTGCAGTAGCAGCTGCAACATTTTCCATTTACTCATTAGAAGAAGCAGGGATACTTGATTTGAAGAAAATAAGAGATAGTCCCAAGTTTTCAAAGAACCAATCTATAGCAAGGCAACCAAGTTATGGTAAATAGACATTTACTTATATCATATATCTTTCCTAAAAATATTATAATTTTCTATTAAATTACATATAACAACATCACCTTAGGTGAAACTTCAAAGGAAAGAGCATTTAGAGAAGAAAGCAGGACTAGAGAAGGTGCTTTACCTCTAAGAAGTTCAAGTGGTATATCCTCAATTGGAGGGTATCAAAAGCAAAAAGGGATTATAATACATAACAAAAATGATAAGGCAAAAGCAGAAGCTTGGGAAAAGGCTAAGCTACAAAGGATTCAAAAGAGGTAATAGTTGTTAAAGTGATAATATAGAGTCAACAAATATAGATTTAGTATATTCTTGACAATGCAAGAAAATTCAGGTATGAGAAGATGAAGCTCCAAATCCTTTCTTGGGAAGGGGAGAAAAGAATCCAAGCCAAAATCCAAATGGAAAGGAAAAAGGTTAGCATTGAATTTGTTGGATTTCTACTTTTAAATTTTATGAACTCATGATATAATTTTCATGTAATTATTATAGAATGAAATGGATCATCAAAGAGAAAATGTAATAGAACATTACAAGAGAAAGATAGCAAGGTTAGATATGATTGGACAAAGAGCAATCAAAGAGTTGGAAGATCAAAGAAGAAAACAAGAGTTGAAAGTCAAAGAAAAAGCTAACAAAATTAAAAAAACTGGCAGGGTGCCTGTCACATGTTTCTGTTTCAAGTCTTTATAGGATCAAGTCATGGAATTCAGAACAAGAATCACCAAAGTTGAAAAAGATTGTGAAGTTAAATTTAAAGAATGTCTTCCTCAATTTGGCTTTAGCAATTTAATGATGATATACTTGAGAAAGATTATCTCTCAAATTGTTCACATAGTATTGCACTAGTTCAAATTTCATATTTAAAGTCAAGTCAAATTGTTATGGTTGTATGAAATGGATTACGAGTTATTCAATAAATTGGACTTATAATATTATGAACTAATTCACATTAGTGTAGTGGAAGAATAAAATTTATGGTATTTAACAGGACCGGTTTAAGGTTCAGCAGGATCGGTTTGTAATGTTGTTAACATTGGAGAATTTATGGTATTTAAAGTTAATTAAAATGTTAATTATGAAATTCTACAATTTATAGACGATACTATCTTTGTAGGTAAGGGATCATGGAAAAATTTATGGAGCATCATTCTGTGAAAACCACATGTAATCTATATGTAATTTATCTGTCCTGTTAAGCACTTAAGCTGAAATATAAACTTAAACTAATGAGATAAAAATCTCAGTAAGACTTATATGCAAAATATACAAGCCTATTAAAACATTTTCTTAGCTATAACTTTTTTAGTAGTAATGTTATAATTTCCTTTGTGTGATTAATTCTTTTGTCTACAGTGTAGATAGGATTAGAAATTTATAATCCCACTTGAAGTATCTCCAAGCATAACTCACACCCTCTTAGTACAGTCCATAAAGTTTGAAAATATTGCTTCTCTTCTTTGCACAAATCTCACAGTTGATAGGTGCATCTTTTATTCAGTTTCGATAACGTAACACTACTATCCGACTCCTTTTATCTGTTCTACAATCTATTACAATACAAATACCAAATTCCAACATCGTTCTTCCCAGACTTTTTTTACCGGATCCGTACTAAGTGTTGCCTTTGACATTTTTACTATCGATGACTGACAATATATGAATGTCTATTAACGATTAATCACACACAAATCATCTAAAAGAGGGAAAAACACAAATGAACACCAACAACTTAAGTACTTGTGAATTTTAAGCTAGTATACACCTAAAATTAGGACCCGTAAATCCAACTTCATTTTCCTAACCCTCTAACATACCCTTAATTAGGAACAATCATGTAGAACATTTCACAAACAGTTAATATGCAATATCTAAAACTAAGAAAAATGAGTAAGAATTCTTACCTCAAACCAAAGAAATGGAAAAAGTGAAATGAACTTTTAGATCTTTCCTCTAACAAGTAACAGCCAACCTTCAAAATCCCTTGGGTTTCGTTCTTGCTAACTGTTGAAGGGTTTTGTAATAACAAGAAACTTTGAGAACGAAACCCTAATTAATGTAATAAAGTAAAGTAGTTAGAGTGGGTGATGATGAATCAATGTTGAGATGAAATTGAATGGGAAAGAAACAACACCTGAATGTAAATTACAGTTTGATGGAGAAGAAGATGAACAACTGGGTTTCGTTTTCTGTAAATTTAGGGGTTTAGAAATTATTTAACTAACCTATGCCAGCGCTTTTAAACAAGCGCTTTCGTATCCCCCCCTATGCCAGCGCTTTTTAAAAAGCGCCTTCATATCCCCCACCTATGCCAGCGCTTTTATAAAAGCGCTTTCGTATCCCCCACCTATGCCAGCGCTTGTTAAAAAGCGCCTTCATATCCCCCACCTATGCCAGCGCTTTTAAAAAAGCGCTTTCGTATCCCCCACCTATGCCAGCGCTTTTAAAAAAGCGCCTTCGTAGGTTTCCCTTTTTTTTAATTTTGTTTTTTGTGAAGGCTATGACAGCGCTTTTTCAATAAGCGCTTTCGTATCCCCCACCTATGCCAGCGCTTTTAAAAAAGCGCCTTCGTAGGTTTCCCTTTTTTTTAATTTTGTTTTTTGTGAAGGCTATGGCAGCGCTTTTTCAATAAGCGCTTTAGTAGAGGCGCTGGCAAAAGCAGTTTTTGGCGTAGTGTGAAATATATGGCAGGTATTCATGCTGAGATCGCTGAAACAAAATACAAGTACTGGTCTACTTTCACTGGTAATCATGTTGATGTCGTATTGACTGCAAGAGAGAAAGCTAAAGTGGAAACAGGTAATATTTATATACTACACTGGAAACTTTTATGTATGCTTGTTTTAGTTAATCAGTTCTGGTTTATATGGTTTTTGATTAATTGGTGTGTTAAATTTTTGCATTAAATTATTTATCAATTTATGAACAAATATAACTTCGAGTGATATTAACTTTCCTCAATTTATGCAACATGACACATACCTCAATTTAGAGTTAGAAGTTAGGTATTTGGAACAATATCTGCTTTCAAATTTGCTCTGTTACTTTTTGCAGGTCAAACCCAGGTTTTTCTTTTTGGTTACCATCTAAATATAGAAACTGAATATGAAGCAAGAAACATAAAAACGAATAGAAATAGTGTAGTGGTTGAGTGCAAGGCTTGCAAGTAGAGGGTGTTGGGTTCAAAACCTACCTTATACGGAATCTTGAGATAAAAGGTTTTTTATTTTGGAATCTATTTTTGTTAAAGGGCGAAAATAATTTTTTTTAAAAGGGGATAAATCAAAACTCGCTACTATTGCGGGAGAATAAAGTGCATTTAACTCTAAAAGTTACTAGCAACATGACCTCCAAAAGGTAAACTTAACGTCGGCATTCAAAATTTACTATGCTCTTCCTCAGTAATGTTAAAAGAATCTCTAACAACTTGACATCAATTAAAAAGCTAATAAGTTTAATTTGCATGATTGCATTTATAGATACAATTGAATCGAATACACACAAGTTATAGCATATTATATTATTATAGAATAATCAAGAATATTATGAACGGTGTACTTGGTAAGATTTTAAAGATTGCTGATGTACTTTTTAGGATTATAGAGATTACCGTCGGAGAGTATGAGAGAATTACTACCCTCATTGTTGTTTAGGGTTTCAGAGTATGTTAATCGTTTAATGGGATAACACTTAAATAGCTAAACGGGTGAGGGCATGGACCTCTCATTGGGTGTAACTGAATGGTTCAATCTATCACGGTCCATTCAGGGACAATAGCTTAATTAGATAAGTCATCGATAAATGCTTAATAACATAGACCATAATTAATATTAATAATAATTTCTAATAATTGATTATTGTTAATCCATAATTGATTAATTAAATAATTAATTCAACATTCTCCCATTTGGATGAAAATAATCAATTATTAAAAATATATAAATTTTAATATTAGAATTTTAATTATGGTCAAAGCACTTGTTCACAAAATAAAAGTAAACTTTAACATTGCATAAATGAATCCGATAGGGAAAAGAAATTATACAAGCTAAAGAAATACATTTTATATTAAAAAGATGAATTTAGAGAAACATATTTCATATGAGAAAAATATGTTATTAAACAATGGTCCAAACATATGAAAATGCTATTGATAAACTCCCACTAACCCAAAATATCATAAGACTTACTCATGTGCATAAGTCGGTGGTTAGTGATTTACTAATGAGTTTTCACATTAAAGGTCATAGCATATCCACGTAGGTCTAAGAATAATAATTACATATAGGCATTACACTATTACAAGAGTAATTACTTTTAATCATAAGTACCTTCATAACACAATATCATACGCATTGGTATTTACTTGAACTTTCATATTATGACCTGACAAAAGTGGACTATTAAAGATAGAATAACACAATATTGAATAACACAATATTATTACATGTCAAAGAATTATTGTGTCTTTTTAATATCGACCTAAATATTAAATGATGTTTCCTGAGATTAAGAGAATAATATTTAGCTCAGTATAATAGAATAAGATCTCTTAGAGTATATTTTGAAGTCTTATTAGAATATGTCATATTTTATAGTGCACACAAGAATATATATGACAATATGAGAATAATAATTTAAATTGTTTCAGATTATATAATTTTGTACACATGCACTCCCACTGATTCAACATGTATAAAGATTTTTCAGAGCTCACTAATATTATATACTCTGATTATACAATGGGATACTAATTATATTTTTATTATAAAACAATATAGAAAAGTGGTTGTATAATATATCATCAATAGAGTTTTACAAACTCAACCATATATTTTACATATAAATGGAATATATCATTATTGATATAATTTCACATGAAAGAGTACGATGTTCATATAAAAGAGGTTCACCATCATTTGAGTGAGATGAAATTCCTATAATTTTAAATATAGGATTATATACAACATCTTAATAACTCACTCAAATCTTAAATGCTACAATTATAATCACACACATTTGAGAAACATATTATGTTATACGCAATCAGTGGCGGAGTCAGAAAAATTATGAAGCCTGGACAACTTTTCATTGGCTTCATAATTTTCTACCAAGACAGTACAATGCTAATCCCAAAGGAATTATTTCCTTGAATTGAAATTGCCTCTTCAATTTGTAAGATTTCAGATTTTATAATATATACATGTTCAAATTTCGGATTCTATAATATATACATGTTACAGTATTTCAGGTGTGCTCACAAAATGAACAAACCTATAAAAGCCGAGAAAATTAGTTCAACACGCTCATTTGTGAGAAATTAAGTACTGCCTAAAAACACCACTATCAATTCAAATTCCAAATAATGTTGTCAAATGCAGATCGGAGAAATGGTGGTTTGTTAAAATTCTGGTATGCTACAATGTTGTAGAGCCACTATTTGAGAACACATTGTACTAAGTAGCATAACAAAAAACAATAGGGATGTGATCAAATTCCGCTACACTATAGTACAATAGCTATAACTGCTATTTAACAACAATGATTCCAAGATATGCCAATCTAAGTTATCAACAAATAAAAAATTATGATAACAAGCCATACCTTTCAATAGTTCCTCTGGAAAACCATGTGGCATCGCTTTCGTGCTCAGGCACAAGAACAATTGAATAACCAACCTTCACCATTTGATCTTGAGCAACCTTCAAGTGGCAGTGAAAGGGGTTGAACAAACCTGAAGCTATTTTCTCCTTCTTTCCATTCATAGTAATGACCAAATCAAACCTAATTTACACAAGAGCACAAAATCACTTGATCAATTAACTCAGAGATTAATCAGTGACATAAAAACCATATCATATATATAAACAAAATATAGTTCCTGCAGTAAGTTTTATCATTTCTATAACTACATGTAGCAACTACATACATTCTCCCAATAAAACTGTGCTCCTTTTTTTATCAATCTTAAAAAAAAATTCCTCAAATGATATTTTTACAGCTCAGATGAAAATTCTAAAATCACTGAACTAGAACATTTCTTAAACGAAAGTACCTCCTCTTGAGCTTCCTTGGAACAGAGGAAAAAATTAATCCTCTCCAATACCTGACCATTTTCTAAAATATATTTGGCAATACTTAATCCACGCACATGACCAAATTTTTTTTTAAACTTCAGCACTTTAAGAGTATAAAGCAAACAATGAGGCACAATTAGAGAATTCATCAGCATTCCATCAAAATATATCACCTAGAGATCAGAAAAAGAAAAGTAGATTTTTTGAAACCAATAAAAGCATTGAGCTTTGTTTTAAATTTTAGAAATTAAAAATGACAAATCTTTAAAACTAGAGTTTTCAAACAGGGTGTCTTTAGGAAGTAGGAGCATGCTTAACAAATATCTCTCTCATTCATACTAGTTATAAATTAAGTAGATCATAATTTATATAAAATCAACAAAAGTAAGTACATTTTCAACAAGTTGAAATCCGTTGATGAATGTTATCTGGTTCTAGTTGGTGTGAGCTGTGTTAGAACAAGCACAAAACCTTGTATGTGAATCAATGGAGATGATGGATAATTTTGGTGAAATTAGAGGATTGGGGAAGATCAAGTTTAGAGAGAATAGAGATTAATTGAGAGGGTAAAAAATCATATGGCATTAATTCCATTCAACATGTTACAAAATGTATATATAGTGCCTGCTAACACTAAACAAAGTAACAAAACAGGGTTTCCTGCAGCATACTGGCAGCTTTTCCAAAATAGCTTCTCAAATAAGCTATTCTCCAAAAACACTTCAAAACCAATTACACTGCATTTGACTTATTCTAATCATTCAACACACCACCTTAAGTCAAATGCTCAATGTTCTTCATGCCCAACCTCACCACGAGTCGCTTGAAAACATCATTCGTAACCGCTTTCGTCAACAAGTCCGCGACCTGTTCTTCACTTCTGCAGTAGCTCAAACGTAACTGTCCAGAACTTACTAAATCTCTCAAGTAATGGAATCTCATCTCAATATGCTTGCTCCTCCCATGTGCTATGGGATTCTTAGCAAGGTTGATGGCTGAAACATTGTCCACCAACAGCAGAACAGCTCCTCTCGTGTTGATGTCCAGCTCACGCAGCAGGTTCACTAGCCACACAGCTTGGCATGCACATAACGAAGCTGCGATATACTCGGCCTCACAAGAAGAGAGAGCAACCACCGGCTCCTTTTTAGAACACCAAGAGATTGGTGCTCCTCCGAACATAAAAACATAACCAGCCGTTGATTTCCGATCGTCCTTATCTCCGCACCAATTGGAGTCGGTGTATCCGAGTAATTCGCAACTTTTGCCCATGTCACTTGCAGGAAATAAAATCCCACAGCCAAGAGTACCTTTCACATATCTAAGGATCCTCTTAACCGCTGCCAAGTGTGATACCTTCGGCCTCTCCATGAACCTACTTGCAATACCGACACTAAACGCTAAATCTGGCCGCGTATTGCACAAGTAACGCAATGATCCTATCAATCTTCGGTATTGAGTAGGATCCACATCTTGCTCATCTTCACTCTTGGACAGCTGTAAACATGCCTCGGCTGGTGTTGTGGCAGCATTACAATGCTCCATATCACACCTCTTCAAAATCTCCATTGCATACCTTCTTTAATGCATGAGCAGTCCCAACTTTGTTTTTTGGAACTCTATGCCTAAGAAGTATTTCATAGAGCCAAGATCACTCATTTCAAACTCCCCCATAAGCTCTTCTTTGAACTTTGAAATGTACTTTTCACAACTGCCCGTAATCAACAAATCGTCCACATAAAGACAAAGTATGATTACTCCTTTGCTTTTATCCGACTTCACATACACACCGTGTTCGGATACGCACTTCTTGAAACCAATGTTGATAAGAAAAACATCTATGCGTTTGTTCCAAGCTCTTGGAGCTTGTTTCAAACCATAGAGTGCCTTCCTTAATTTGTAGACCCTTTCCTCTTGATTTTGTATCACAAAACCAGGTGGCTGTCCAACATACACTTCCTCATCCAATGGACCATTCAAAAACGCCGATTTGACGTCCATTTGATATAACGACCAGCTGTTGTTATTTGCAATCGCAACAACTAACCGGATGGTTTCATGCCTTGCAACCGGTGCGAATACCTCATCAAAGTCTATGCCTTCTTTTTGCAAAAATCCCTTTGCTACCAATCGAGCCTTATGCTTGATTATCTCGCCTTTCGGATTTGCTTTTACTTTGTAAACCCATTTCACACCAATCGCCTTTTTACCTTTCGGTAAATCAACCAACACCCAAGTATTGTTCTTCTCAATCGATTTCAACTCTTCCTTCATTGCACACATCCATTTTGGATCGCTTAATGCCTCCTCCGTATTTACCGGTTCGGATTCGGCCATTAAAGCGAAATGAATAAGATCACCATCATTGTTGATCTCACTATCTCGGAACAATTCACAATCTCGGAGTCTTTGAGGCATACCTCTATGCCTTATTGGTCTACCCTCATTCACAACATTGTTTTCAGCTGTTGTAGGTGCTGGTACAGCGGCATCAGACAACTCCGGATCAGAGATTTCAAAAAACTGCTGCTGCTGATTTTCTGCTGCTGTTTCTGCACTTTTGATTTCATCAAAAGTCACGTCCCGGCTTATCACGATCTTCCGATTCTTCTCATCAAACAGCTTGTAACCACCAGTAGAGTGATATCCAACAAATATCAACTTCTCACCTTTATCATCCAACTTCTTTCTAAGTTGATTTGGTACATGACGATATGCAATCGATCCAAAAACACGCAAATGAACCACACTCGGTTTGAAACCACTCCAAACCTCTTCCGGTGTGATTTTCTCCAGCTTCTTAGTAGGACACCTATTCAACAAGTAGGTGGCTGTAGATACGGCCTCACCCCACAATTCTTTAGGTAACTTCTTCCCACAAAGCATGCTACGCACCATGTTCATTATTGTACGATTTTTCCTCTCGGCAGCCCCGTTTTGTTGAGGCGTATATGGAGGCACCACCTCACGCACAATACCCTCAAGATCACAAAACTTCCCAAATTCACTAGAGGTATATTCACCTCCACCATCCGTTTTGAGAATTTTGAGCTTCCGACCGCTTTGACGCTCCACCATGGATTTGAAACTCTTGAACACTCCAAATACCTCATCCTTTCTCTTGATAAGATAAGTCCAAAGCTTCCTACTAAAATCATCAATAAACGTAACAAAATATCGATTGCCGCCATATGTCTCTACTTGCATTGGTCCACAAACATCGGAATACACCACCTCAAGTAAGTCTTTGGCTCTCCGACCCGCATCCTTGCTAAACACCTTCTTGTGTTGCTTAGATGTGACACATTCCTCACACAATTCTGTCGGAACACTAATATGTGGCAGCCCCGTTACCATTCCACTTTGTTGCAACATCTTAAGATCCCTAAAGTTAAGGTGACCAAGACGGTAATGCCATAGCCACTCCTCTCTACTTGCCGCGGTAGCTAAACAACGATGCTCCATAACCTTTAACTCAACCTTAAAAGTTCTGTTGGCAGCCATCGGTGCTTTTAGAATCAACACACCATTTGAATCTAAAACGCGTAACATCTTATTCTCCAATCGAATTAAGTACCCTCTTTCAAGCAATTGGCCAATGCTTAAAAGATTGCACTTAATTCCCGGTATGTACAAGACATCTTTGATCCTAGAGTGTCCACCATTCTTTCTTCCGATCAAAACATCTCCTACCCCTTCGGCGCTTAAAGTAGTGTCGTCGGCAAACTTGACTTTACTCTTTGTCGCTTGATTGATTTGCACAAACCAATCCTTTCGACCCGTCATATGTGTTGAACAACCGGAATCCAAGTACCATTCATCTTTAATTTGGACTCCCTCACGCACGGTAACTAATGCATTTCGATCCGAACACATTTTTTCGCCACTTTCCAAAACAGTACAGCTGCTGTCCCACACACTATCATCACAGTAGCTGCTTCCCGGAACATCAACAATGCCATAATTCTCTTCCGTAATCATCACAAGAAGGGTATCTTCATCATCTACCTCTTCCCTAGCAACCTTCGCCTCATCCGCATCCTTTTCCTTGCGTTTTGAGCGACATTCTTTCGCAAAATGCCCAAGCTTTTGACAATTATAACACTTCACAAAACTTTTGTCAAACGGTTTGTGGGCGCTTTGATTACCATCTTTGGAGCTTCCTTCACCCTTTGAATTTTGTGGATCTTTTCCACCAAAATTCTTCTTATTTTTTGAAGTCCACTTCCCTTTCGATCTCTTGTTCTTCTCATGTAAACGCGCTTGCAAAGCGATCTCCGCTTTGGCTTTGTCGGCACTTCTCTCATCCATCCTTTGTTCATGCGCCTCTAACGAACTTTGCAACTCATCTTTACTCAAAGTTGTTAGATCCTTTGACTCCTCAATAGCCACAACAATGTTATCGAAACGTGATGTTAACGAACGCAACACTTTCGATACAACATTCTGCTCAAGGATCGTTTCGCCACATGACTTGATTTGGTTGACTAACCGGGTAATGCGCGTTATGTAATTGTTGATCGTTTCTTTGTCCTCCATTTGCGTTAACTCGAATTGACGTTTATAAGTTTGTAACCTTACCACCTTCGCTTTGACGGCACCGGCATACGCTTTCTCCAAGATTTCCCATGCTTGCTTCGCGGATTCACAATCACCAACCTTCTCGAAATTGTCGTTATCAACACAAG